ATATATATATCATATTATATTATGTTTATATAAATGCAGTATAATAATATGAATGTTGGAATATAATATAACAATATAATATGTTTAAATATAGCGTAATATAATATGCTTAAATATAAAATAATAATATAATACATATAAATATAATATGATGATATAATATATAAATATAATACAGTATTAAAATACATATAAATTATATATAATAATATAATATATCAATGTAGTGTAACATAATATATATTATTTACAATATAAGGATCAAATGAGGTATAATGCTTAAGAATGACGGTACATAATTATACTGACTTAAGACGCCTTTTCACTTGTTCCTAAGAGAGCTAGATGTGTCTCAGAGGTTGCAACTACGAAAATGCATTTTAAAGTGTTACTGCCAAGTGCAACAAATTTTCAAATGATGATATTTAGTCAAGCGGTTGCGCCAGATGTTTACCGAGAAGAAGGTCACTACTATAGAGAATTTTTTGCTTTGTTTAATGCCTTTCCTACTTTTCTGATTTTGTTCGAAACTGTAGCTGTCAACCCTGAAAATAATTTGTGATTTCGCTACCTCTCGTCTAACTCTTCATAGTCTTCAATGGAGATTTGTTAAGGCGTCAGCAAATTTGTATTGATAACAGCAACTAATTGATCCTTTCCAACAAAAACCGGTACTACCGAGAACAGAGTACTGGGCTAGGCTCCTTCTTTATTTCCACTACGAATCGGAAGATTATCAAAAGATTGCTAAATAGTTATAAATAGATAAGGTTAATAAGTGATTTATTCTGCGGTTGCATCCCTTGAACATGAACACACCGCAAGTGCTTAAGATTTTTGGATTTTTTATACATTGTCAAGTTAATCTTTTCGCTATTCGAACAATGACAGCGACTCCCGCATAAATTCTCTTCTCATTTAGTAATTTTACGGTATGAATTCAGGATGCTCGAAGATCACCGTTTTACTGACACGATTTCGCGAAACACTTCCGTACAATCAGCAATTGAGCGATTTGACCAACGCAGAGTGAGCATGATTGAAAGCTCGCCGAAATCTAACGAGACCTCACTATCAGAAGGGACCACAAACAGGCAGCATCATAATCATACGGATTTAGCTCCTCCAGTTCCCCGAGCGCGGAAAGTATTATCTTTACCAGAAAGCCCTCCTCAAAGAGAGTTCAGACTATCAACAACGAGCCCCAGCGAACCATTCATGTTCCAGAAGCAGCGCTCCAAGTCAACGCCTATGAACCCAAACGTGCTATTACATTCGCGTGATGCCTCGCTCTACCCCCAAATGAAATTTTCTGACCAACGGTTTCGACCAACTAATTACGGAGCAGGTATCACAGGAGTGTACCAGGAAGTAGTGTATTCTGCGGCGTCTGAAGATGATCGTGCTGAAGATAAAAGTCAAATTCCTGCCATGCAAAAGGAAACGAATTTGGTCGAGGCAGATGTTTATAAGGAACAGGTACGTCTGTGCACTTCTGCAAAAAGTTTCAAATTTCGATTTTTTTTT